ATACAAGAAATTTAATATTAATTTGCATGTTTATTATAGTAATAAAAAATTTAGTAATTTTTTGTGCTATTTAGTAATTTATTACGATAGCCTTTATTATTGTATCTAGCACTACAGGATTTTTTATAATATTCCGTATTTATACTTTTTAATATAGTATAGTAATTTTTCGTAATTTATTATACCAACATATAGTATTTCATTTATTATATTATATTTATTATAATAATAGTAAAGTAACTTTTTGAAAATTATTATAGTATTTTAAGTATAATTAGAGTATTTTAAAAATTGTAAAATTATTTATTAAAAATTTCTGAATTTTTAAGTAAATTGTAAAATTCTATTTTTTAAAATAAATTGTAAAATTCTGTTTTTTTTTTTTAAATTTGAATTAATAAAGTTGTGTTAGCAATTTATTTTAAAAATAACATACATAAATACTTCATTCTTTACAAACTGTTTTTGGTGGCCGCAGTTCAGCTATTGCTGCTAATAATGCTTCAAAAGCATTTTCGCGACCGATGCCTGAATACTGCTCCGCCAAATAGTTTCTTTTCTAACATATAACTACATAGTTTGCCTATTTTCAGAAATTCTGTCCCTTGGTAAAATAAGTTTTCCATGGAGTGAAAAATGTCATTTTTTTTCAGTTAATAGTAGATTGGAAATATTAAGCATAATAAATACTGGCAACGGAAAAAACCGCTATATTTTAAAAATGCAAATTTTCACTAGCCCTAAAAACGTGAACTATTCACACACATGGCTATCATGCAAAATAAAATTGAGATCATTGAGCTGCGGAAATCGAAAAGAAAGGCCGTAACTGTTTATGAAGAATCATACCTATAAATTATGGAAAACAAAATATGAAATGTCCGTTAAAAATAAAAACTGCATGAAATTGGTAACAATAAAAAAAGAAAAAAGAGCGAACATATATTAACATAAATTAAAATCATATTTTGACCGGTCACTGTCGTTTTCATGCGTAATTTAAAAAATTCAATCTTAAGACTTAAAGTCTGTGGCAGCTGCAATGGATCTGCAAATGCTAAACACTTCCTGGAGACCTGCCCACTTTTAAAAGATACAAGGAAAGATTTTACCATAAATGAAGCAGAATGGATTTTATCAAATAGAATAGTATTAGATATAGTAAATAGATAGTTTTCAAATTTTGACAAGGGGAGAAGTCTACCAAGAAGATTATGAATTATAACAATAACAATCGATCAACTGTGGGAATTCTACTTTGATGTATTTGCTGCTGTGTTTGTGCCTATAACTGGAATATCCATAATCAAACCATAGCACCCCTTGTAATCAGGTGATTAAGTTGCTTCCGACAAGCAAACAAACACACAAAAAACCGCTACATTTTAAAACTAACAGTAGAAGAAACACATGCACATGCGACATGCGACATGCGACGGAAGACGTGGGCACCACCCCTCTACCAATACGGTTAATCGGTATAGCGCCACGTCCACCTTTATCTAGATAACCATACGTGTTCATTGTGCTAATATACTAATATATAAACATACATACAAATTTGGTACTTCATACAGTGGCGTTAAAGCTAATTAATGTTAGACACTGGATAATACATTGCCATGTTGCAAGATGTATGCAAAAGCATGGATACGGTAGCATATATACATAACGTGTGTACTCATATGTTGAGTACACTACGATCCCTTGAAGCATTATCATTAGATTACAGAAGACATGTACAAACTGAAATATTAGGTGCGCAATGTTATGCTGGAATAAGTAATTAGTACAGTGAATTAAAAGTTAGACCCTAGATTAGTACTGTGTGGTACAGTGTCTTGCTTCTGAATTATTTGTACTGTTTCTTAAGTACATTAACCAATGTACAAAGATATTAAAACACGTGTATTAGGTACACAGTAATTAGTGGATACCCAAGCGTTAGGTAAGTGCTACTTTAACATACATTAACAATAGGTACTTAATACAATGATGAACAGATAATTGGTGCAATTAATTTTAGAGTGGGGCTCTAGTTAGTTCTTTGCGATACGGTGCCGTGTTACAGGATGAAATGTGCAGATGCATAGTTACATTATCATATATACAGAACATAAATTCATATACATATATATATATATATATATGTACATTTTGTGTACACACACATTAGGTACATGATTATTCAGTGCGTAATAGATGTACACTAACATTAACTATGCAGTGCCAAGATATGTGATAACACTAGTAGATACATGGGTACAATTACATATAAACAAGGACATACACAATTACATATAGACAAAAGCGTATATACGCTTATATTTGGTACATAAAAGTCATTGGTGACATAAACATTTGGTACTTGAAACACATGCACAGGTGAGTAACCGTAATCTCCCTGCACACACACGCATATACATGCGCAGACCGATAACTGTTTATTTATCGCCAATGCGGAGACAGGCCAATTCAATGCCGAGCCGCTACAGAAGACAAGTAACGTATATTACTGATTTAAATATTTCTATTAATGATCTAAATGTATTTTAGCTGTTATCTTACTGACAAATGTTATTTTATACTTTTTATGGAAGATTTTCTGTATATAATTATTATTATCATTATTCTGTAATACTGATGTAATTTTATGATAAACATAGGATTTATGTATTTTACATAATTTCTAGCTTAGATTTTGCTACTTTAATTTTTTAGAGCAAATTTCCCTGAGTAGCCGAAGTTTACTGAGTTTAAAGACCACGGAAAATTTACTGCTAATATTTCGAACTCACTAATCTATTTGTTCTAATGAAATTTAACGTAACGTAATTGCTTAATATGGCACCATTTATCCTGTGAATGATAAGATCACGTTGAAATAGTGCCTTCGGTGTAAGTAATTCAAAACTTATACATAAAATAAGAATTTGGTGCTTTAAGTACAGATATTTTTAAAATAATGAGCACTGAAAATTTTCAAAGCGCAAATTTTAGGAAAAAACAAAAGAATCTTTCTGTTTCTAGATTTTAAAGAAAAATAAAATAACATATAACAACTTGTAAATTATTTTTACTGCTTTAAAAGCTATGTAATGTAATCCCTCGAGGGCAAGAATTTAGGATTCTCTTTGGAACTCTGAAGAAGTACTTTGTAAACTCTTAAATGGAAGACGATAGTTGAAAAACTCATGTTTCATTTGTCCCGAAGCGTAGAAGAAATTCATCTTCGCTTTCACGGGAGAGAAATATGAAACTTGTTTACTTTCTCGTCTACTAAGCTGTTCTGAAAAATTATTATCCTCCGATTATTGTTAGAAGTGAAGCGGAGTCAAATAATAATAACCTTTAAAAAATAACACTTTACGTTATCTTTAAGGAACTTTTGGAAAGAGCTTAGCAAAGCTGCAGAAAATAACGAAAAGCGTTTAGCAAAATTCAGAAAGGAAGGAAAAAAAAAAACTCAAAACTCAACACATGTATAAAAAAAGGCCAAATCTGAAGCATTCCTGTTGAAAAATAACCACGTCTACACTTATTTCATTTTTTATATGAAAACAGGCCCAAGAAATAAAGGGAGGTAAAAGAAAAATACACTAAAAGGAATAATTACAAATCGTGCATAGAAAATCTTCCGTGGTTTCAATGTGGAAAATTTTTTTAAATTGTTGGCTACCATCCAATCCAGCTCAGGGAACTTTTCACAAATTTCGCATTCTTCCAGAATAGTTTCTTTTTTTTCATATATTTATTTTTCTCCTTACACTGAACCATTTTATAACGCTCGACTTAGCGCAGAGAATAGTGGAATTCTTTGGAGCTGGTCGAACAATCTTGAACACGCCTCTATGTCCAAGAAATCGACGTTCTAGCTTCTTCCCTGGTAATGATAATAATTACTGCCTTCCAAAGAGAGACAAATGGGAGAAAATCATGGCGCCTTGTCTTCAACCATTGATAAGATCTTTAATCAGCTTAATTTTTGTTGGCAGATTTAGTCTGGCAGTTTCTCTGAACATTTTAAGAACCTTCTTTTTTTCCCGAGAGGTTGAGAAAACTTCCCTTTGGTGCCGTTCATAAAAAATTGATTGGCTTTCGACAGGGACATGTGGATAACGAGTTTTTCTTCTTTTCCCCCTGAAAAGTTCAATTGCTAAAAATAAAGACTTCGAGATGACACAGGAAAAGAAATAGAGGTTTCTGGTCGGTACAAAGTAATCACGTTAGGAAGCAGAGCGTAGATTAGAGATTGCTATAGGGAGCTCTCGCTCGCTGTAATGACGTCAATGACACTTTTCTTTATTGCTACGATAAGATTGAAACCATTTTCTGAACAGTACTGATGATTATGATACTCCGAAACAATGCGTTAATTTTAAAGGTATACAAGCATATATAAATGCGCCTGTGTGTATCCATTATTTCCAAAAACTATTTAGAATTAAATATGTAGTAACAATTTAAACTTAATGTAATTCATTGTAAAAACATTTCAATGGTTCATAAACTGTCATTTTTTTCATATTAGATCATTAACTGCCAGAGTATTTCATTAATCACAACTGAAACTTATTCCCTCATTAAAAGGCAATACTGAAAGCATTCTACAAATCATAAGAATTGTAGTATTAATAGGAAATAACTACAAACAGTGATCTATCTTTATTAATGTATCTGTTGTTATTACAAATGGATGTGAAATATACTTAAACACTCAATGTGCTATTTAAGTTTCGAATTTCTTTTGTTGAAATGATTGTATGTTAAGTTTCTAGTATGTAAATCAACGTTAGTTTCTTTAATATTCTGATTTCTTAAAATATCCTGCTGAAAAGACTAAACTACAATAATTTTATAATATTATGTTTGCTGTTTTCAGCTATACTTTATAGTTTGTGATTTCAGGACAGTTGGTCATCCATTTATTATCCGAGTAAAGATTTTAGATTGTAGAGACATTAGGTTATTTCGAAGCAAAAGACGTGACAAATTAGCAATGCCCTGGCCGGGATTCGAACCAAGGACCTCAGGAATAAGCGTCCAGCGTGCTGACCACTACACTACGAAGGCATGCTAAGAAAGCGGTAGAAATACCTTATAAGATATATGAAATTTAATTTTATTCAGTCGACAGAATTCACTCTTATACATTGTACAGGACAATATTGGGACGTGTATCTCGATGAAAATGAGAAAAATAGTGTTTCCTCTCAGATTTTCTGAATACTGATACTTCTACCCGGGTTTAAATACCTACTACAGTGTTATCGTTTTAGGAAGTTTCCTGAGTAATGTGAACACAAGCTAATTTCCCTTAAAAAAAGTCATCTGCGACGGCATCGCCCTTAGGCAGATAGCCTTAGAATTCTAAATAATCTACTGGGGATATTCTCGGATTTATAGCAGCAATATCTAAAAGTCATAGAAGTTATTTACTAACTATAAAAACCTAGTTATTTCTAGAAAGAGAATAGAAATTTCTAAAGAGAAGTTACAATATCTCATTAGTGTATAGCGGAATTTAAATGTTTGCCAACATTTGTATTACTCATTGTGAATGCAGGGAAAAAATTCATACTATATTTACAAAAAAAAAAAAAAAAAAAAAAAAAAAAAAAAAAGAGTTTGAAAGAAGTCAGATTTTAAATTACGTCCAAAGTGGCGTTTTTTTAACGTTTATTTCTAAATTTGGTCTTCCACATGCCCATATTCGTAGAAGGATTACGTCAATCAAAATTCGATGGCTCTATGTACCGTTGTTTTATCACAATGCGAGAAATATACATACCTTTATGCAGAGTTTTCATTATTTAATTTCTTCAGTTATAATGCTGGACTCTTAACGTTTGGAGACAACAGTTTGAAAAGTGAAACGACATTTATGATTCAACGGAAAATCACAAAACGAAAACAATAGTTCTTCAGAGACAAAGCCCCTTTGGACTAATAATAATTAATCATCCCTAATGAAGTAAGCAATTTTTTCCGACGAATAAGGAAATAAGACAAAAAAAGAGTATCGGTTTTAATAAAAAATTATAAATTTTTGTAAAAAATATTTATATTTAATCAATTATTTCCTGATTCCAAAATCACAAGGAAGACTTACTTGACTCTTTAGAAAATTACCTTATTAATTTATACCTATGTAAAATCAAATATTACATATGATACAATTATTAATAACATTATATGAAACTTTAAGCTGCTGTCAAATGTATAATTTCATTTTTCTTCAAAGGAAATTCGTATTTTTCTAAAATCTGTTGCTGGATTTTTTTTTTCGTAATAATAGCCACACGTTCTATTGCATCATTTGGTGTATTTTTTAAGTTCATTTTTCTAAACGTTTTTATAGTGTCCTGATACATGGAACTACACTGCAGGCCATTACGTTTGCTGGCGAGTAGTTGCGACCAGTCTCTTGGCAACTCAAAACGTTAAGAAGAGCAACAATCGAACACACTCTGTATCGAGTCAGGTCAGGACACCACTGATATAATAATATGCGATGGTGCCTTATCTTGCTGAAAGATGGTGTACAGGCCTCGCAGACAGAACACAAGCAAGGACTTCAATGCATTAAAAATGCAACCGCGTCTGTCAACATTATCGGCTCTGGGAACAAGTGGTGACTGGAATGAATACGACGGTGGGACGAAATTACAGTTTTTTACTTTTCTATCGCTATACTCCGGAAACGTTGCCTATCGCCTAGCTGGCCAAAGGAAAAGTGTTTTCATATAAATTTATAATTGGCACTCACGCATCTTAATTAAAATTTTAAAAAATTACAAAATTTTGCTATATTTCCTCGAGTTTTATTTTCTTGTACGAAGTAAAGGAAGTATTGTAATCGTGAAAAATGTCGGGCATTATATCTCACAGAAATGTTCATTTTGACAAATTTTGCTTAACATCTATACGTACGGACAGAATATTGTACTCTTCTTTCCAACTGATTGTAAATTGGATTCTGGAGAGAACCTTTCGTGATGTCTGTACGTATGTATACAAGTATGTATCTCACATAACTCAAAAACGAGTAGCCTCAGAACGTTTAAATTTTGTATATGGTACTGCTATAATATCTAATGGTGGAACTCTCTTTTTATTGCAATCGACAGTACCAAACGTATATATATATATCTGTGTATGTGATGAAAAATATGTAGTAATGTTGATGCGGTAGAATATAGATCCATACTGAACAAGAAACTTGGCAGCCGAGTAAGATTAAGTATTGAACTTTGAACTTTATTTCAATTCTTATCTGCAGCCACAATTTACTTGGCACTTTAATCGTGCCTATTCAAAAACATTTACATTTTTAATACTGTTGCGATAGGAAAAGAGCAGAGTGAAATAATCTCCAAGTGGCAGCAGAGCTAGAAGCAGGAGTGCGCTGTTATCTAACATGGAGGTTCAACAATAGAAGGTTTGGGTTTAGGTTGCTTGTTAAAAGTTTCAATTCTTGAATAGGCGTGATTAGAGTGCCAAGAAAATTGTGGCTGCAAATGTCTTTGCATTTCTTCTACTGCCCCATTCGAGAGCATTCAAAGAAGTCTCGTTACATCGAGCACAACTTCAATCCAGACTAAAGGCTCCACTGAAAATTAAAACTGCGTGTGGAACAAAATCGTCCAACCGTTGTGGATAGCTGAAAGCAAATTTAACAGAATTAAAATATATGCAGAATGCAAAAGTAAACATCGTATTGAATAGAAAGATATAAATCACATGAAACAAAAATACTTAATTATTATCCAGGATATCAAACTGTCATTGTAACTATTGGTAACGGAAAACTGTGTTATGAAAGTACTTATTAAAGGCCAAATTTTACCAAGCTTGTGTTATACAAATTATACGTATATTAATCATTTTGCAATTCATAATTTCAACGCTCATTGCCCAAACAATATATCGGATAACTTTTCCTTCATAAAATACATCACACAAAATGGTGAATAAAATGTAAATAATTATGTTGTCTTGCTAAGGATATTTCTTCCTTGTGTGACATTTATAGTTTTAGTTAAAATAGACCAATAGTAGCAGGTGAAAGCATCTTAGTTGGCAATTAATGGCAACTCGACTTGTATTGGCCAAACTATCACACTTACTAAAACACGTATTCAGAACAGAAACTACAATATATATCTGTTAAGGTGTTTTACGCAGATAATTTCCCAACTCTGAATATCTATTACTTGAACTCAGTTGTTACAAAAATGATAGTCTTTTGAAACAGTCACTGAGTTGTAGATGCAAAATGCGATGGAGAGTGGGATGTATAGAATGGCATCTATGATATTTTTTGAGTGGTAGCCTTTATACTTGCGTAGTTAGAAAAGAGCGGAAGCGGAATTACTTAAAAGTTTAATCCTCTTGGGTACCGCTCAACAGCGGCCGAGCAGTAAAATCGCTGAACACTGGTAGTTCTTCGGTCTGGGGTTCGAATTTCGGCAAACGGTCTGGCTGCGTGGATCGTTTCGTAGTTTTCCCCAAGTGTAACGTGCATGCAAGATTTACTTTAGAAAGTCCTCCACGAAATCATCCCTGCCCTTAGGCAGATAGCCTTCATGTGCTTTGCTATAATTAAATAAACCAAATCAGTCCTCCTGTACCATTAATCAAGATTTTGAAGCTAAATTTTTTGCGGCGCTCTTAAGTCTTTTTGCGTCATATGCATATTCATAAAGCCTACAGACCATTTCTCTAAGGTCTGCTCTCATTGGATGAAACATCTGCTTGGCGGTCATATTTGGAATGGCGAGTTATCGCCCTGTAGGCGTGGTAATTAATGCGAAACAAACGAAAACAGCATTTATTTCATTCGATATTTTTTTAGTTTATGAATAAAAGCTTGGAGGAATTGTATGGAATATATTTTATATGACTTACTGAGCTTATTAATAGTTTATTTGTATTTGAATTTAAACTTTTAAAAGTACGTAATTGTTTTACAAGAAAAAGGTGTTTACATGAAGATAGCTTATGCACTTTTGCGTCATTTCTGTTAGAAAGAGCCTGTTGTGTAAATTTCCATAGCGCATTAATTTATACAAATAAAGGAGTATTAAAAAATAAACCAAATGAAAACATTCAGTAAACATTTAAGTGCGTCGGATACCTATTCTTTTTTACCTAAATTATGAAAAGTAAGTATAACTAAAATTAGATTTTTTACATTATGCGCTATTTCTATTGAAATGCTTTTCGGGATCTTGGATCGTAATCTTGATACTGGTACCTACTACAAAGAGTACAAACCAGTAAATAAAAATATGAAAAATTAACAAAAATAGAGAAAATAAAGGCGTTTAATTTTTAACACCGCACCCAAACAAATAACTAATAGTAGCAGGTGAAATCGTATACAAGCGTATATAAAGTCATTCAATAAAGTTAAAATAAAAATAAATCCTTGTAGAGCAGAGTTTATGAAAGCTATGAGCGGAGATAGAACCGGCGATCTAGAAGTCTGAGTACTTTTTCCCGCTCTCATTACCGCTGAGCTGCGGTTTCTCCGGTGTGTTACTTACAATTTTTAGTACAGCACACTCAAATAAAAGGCGATGAACCAAAAGTCGCCAAGCACTAGGTTCTGTAACCCTACGTTTCCTGTTTTAACCAATCGGAGCAAACAGCAGTAGAAACAGTCTGTAGGCTTTGTGAATAAGAGCGTCACATCGGTTGGGAAACACTGATCTAGGTGCTTGTACTTCAATAAAGCTATTTCAACTCATAGAACAGCATCATAACATTGCACTTTCTCTGTCATTTAAATGAGGAATACATAACCATATTTTGTCTAATCTCCGTTTGTCTTTAACTTTTAAAGATTTTTGACTCCACGATCTCTGTTCCAAAAGTACATTCCAACATGTAAAAGCTTTCCAGAATATTCTCAGTCTCAGAAAAATGCTTCTTCGTAGTGTTTCAAATTATATTATGATTTTTCATTATTATGATTCTAAAAATGTGAGGAAGACCGCATTTGATTAAATATGTATTTTGAACGAACAACAAAAATTTTAATCATTCCAAAATAAAAGAAATAACTC